CCCGGAGGGCGGCAGAGGGAGAGGGGCTGCGGGGCCCGGGCCGGCTGCCTCGGCCGGGGCAGCGGCACAAAGCCGGGACGTTTGCGGGACGGCTTCGCTCCCCGGGAGCCGCCCCACCGGGTTCCGACCCCCGGAGGGGGTTCCGTCCCGCTTCCCACCTCCCGCCGGGAAAACGCACCGACCCCCGCCCCGCACGCTTCCCCGGGGCCGGGGGGGAGGCTCCGGGCCCCGGGCAGCAGGCACCGCCGCCGGGCCAGGGGCAGCCCCGCTGCCGGCTGGGCTGACAGCGTGCCCGGGGCTCGGCCCCATCCCCTCGGGCCCTGCGAGGGACAGAGCGGGGGGGAAGGCAAGCCCTTCCCACGGGTGAGGGTGCCGCTCCGTGCCCTGCCCGTCCAGGGCTGGAGAGGCGCTCCGCTCGCCTTGGCCAGTTCGTTTCCCCTTCGCAACCCGAGGAGGCCGGGCAGGGGACGCCTGCTTGAAGCCCCCCCGGACCCTCAAAGAGGCTGGGGGGTAGGGGGGAGGGGGAAGCGGTGCCCGGGCTGTGCCCCCCTCCCGAGAACACGGGGCCATCCCCACTACGAGCATCCCTCTGCGGTGGGAGGTTTTAGGAGCCCACAGGCTGCCCCACGGGGACGGCGTGCCCACGGATCCCCTCCGCAGTCTCTTTGGGACGGGGTTCGCTCGGCGTGGGGGGCAGCGAGCAGGTTCCCCCCCCCCCCTTCCCAGGCTGGGGGCAGGCTGTACCTGTAGTAATCCTCCTTGCAGTAAATGCTGCCGTCCTTGCTGAAGCAGGTGAGCTCGGACTCCAGGTTGAGTTTACATTCGCAGCACTTCAGGCAGCGCATGTGCCACTGTTTATCCACAGCCAGGAGGTAATAACGGTCGGAGATTTTCCCCCCGCAGCCGGCGCACAGGGCAGCCCTGTCACTGCTGATGGAAGGCATGGTCTGCTGGGGGAAAACAATTACAGACCGTTAGCGAGAGGGAGAAACTCTTGGGCGCTGCTGGGCTCCCCCCCCCCTCCCCCTGCCCGGCCGGGGCCGGGCTTCTCCTCTTCCTCGCAGGGGCTTGGCAGACGCGGAGCGGAGGAGAAGGAGAGCGGGGGGGGGGGCCGAGCCCGGCCGCCCCGAGCCCGGCCGCCCCGACCTGCCTCCTGCGCCCGGGAACGCGGGTCCCCAGGGTCCCGCAGCATCCCACCTTCCCGGGAGGAGGCGGGGAGGAGGGAGAGGCAGGAAGAAAAACACCCTGGGTTTCAGGGAAGGCGTCCGGATGAGACCCAGGATTTTTTTCTTTTTTTTTTTTTTTTTCCCCCGTGTGGATTTTCCAGTCCCAGAACAAGAAAAGATGCTGTTCGATAAACAGGCGCAATAATCACAGAGCAGGGCAAATCGCAGATAGTTAATTTTAAAATTTATTATTATGGATATACTGAGAGTGTCTGCATAGTTAATGCTCTGTGAGTGCGTGTATGCGGAGCGTGTCTGTGTGTGTATTTTCCTAGCTATAAAATTCCGAGTGAATTACGATCAAACCCCCTAGTAGTCACAGTGCTACAGACACAGTGCGCTCTGCAAGCTGGTTCCAAACAACACGTATCCAAATCTGCTGTTACCCAAAGCACTAAAGGGACCAGTAAATAAAACTGCGGAGGAGAGGAGCGTTACTAAATCCGAGGTGCAGAATGTTTTATCAGGAAAACGAAATAGTGGGAAACGTTGTAGGAAAGAAAGCGGGGGAAAAAACAACAGAACACTTTAGATTATGCCGGGATAAACTTGGAAGCAATAAAACTAAATGTAACCCCTATATAATTTAATAGTTTAGTGTCAAATCGCAATCCAATCGAAACCCCGCAAAAAACAAATACATACATATTCTGTCAACCTCTACCAAAAAAGAAAGAGAGAAAAATATCGGAAACCGTTTAAGCACGCTTATTTATTTTAGCCGGCACCTTAAAACAGTATTCAAGAGAGGAGGCTCAGAGTGGAGCAGTGTTTATGGCAGACAATGCGCTGCTGTCCATTTCGTTCCAAACTTACTATTATCCGCTTTGCACAAAAGCACACCGCAGATTTGTTCTTGTCCAAGAGAACCCGAGACATTTTTTTACAGATGTGACAAACACGCTGCTTGTTTTGATTCGGGGCGGGGAGGGGGGGGAGAAGTTGTTTGTTTACTTTTACCTCCTCTAGAGCCTTAAGTCCTTGCACAAAGCAAAAAGAAAAGACAACTAATAGGGAAGAATCGAAAAAAAAAAAATGAAGCTTTTTTTCCCAGCATATGCTAGACTGATTACTTTCATCCAGTACTTGCAGAGCTCACAAAACCCCATCGCTATGAGCACTACTGTTTGCACTACACCATTCCCACTATCAAATAAAATTATGGCACTACATTAGTATGTTAGCCACACAAGTCCACTGATAGCTTATTTCTTTAAGGCATTAACTGAACTCCGATCAGGGATCGTTTTATAACCAAAGTAGTTTCTTGCAAATTTACTTTAAATGAAATATGATTTTTCTGGTTTGCTTTTCCAGTGACAAAAATATTCTGAGATCCAGAAAAGGTATTTAAGGATCCAGTATCCTATCCCACTATTTGCTACATACACGTGTGTATGCATATACGTTATATATAGATATATAAATGTATCATGCCACAATATTTATTCCAGGAGAGATCATTTGATATTTTTTAACTGTATGGAGAAATAGTAACTTTTCTAAAGAAAACAAAACCCGCTTAGATTAGAAATCACGTCCCACCCTTATAGTATAAAGGCTGTTTTTCAGCCAGTATTTCAGTATTAAATACTCTCACTGTCACCTTTAAGCAAATTTCTACATAGCATTAAAAGAAATAACAGATACTGATGAATTTTAAAAAACCGAGAACAGATATCTTTCTTGCATATGCCCGTATCAACTTACGAGACAGCATTTAACCAAAGTACGGGATCATTTCACTTCAGAATTATCATTTCTTAACAAAAAAGTAGTATACATGAAACGTTGAATCAGTTAACATACTTCACAAATCTCGTCCACTTTGCTAGCTTAACGCCGATTAGAAGGATGCATCTTTTTATTATCTAAATGTATTAATATACAAGTACTACGCATCAGCAGACATAAGATAAAAAAAGTGGTAAAGTTATAAAAAATTGCACCCATCCGTCTCCCTGAAACATATCTTCTAGATCTGTTAGCCAAGTTCGCAAACCCAGTGTTCATATATATTAAAATTATTTTTTAAAATCATAATTTAAAGGCACTCGAATTTGGTTGTGTTTGGTTTTTTTTTTTTTTAAATAAATGCTATAAAGGCTACCTCAGCATAGACATCCTACCTGAAAAATAACACAGAACTGGATTCTTTGATGTTTGTGTTTCCATTCTGCAGACAAAAAATTCTCTGTGCCAAAATGTTATCTGTATAAAAGCATACTTTGCCTCTTCCTAAAAACTTTGGAAGGCCGGACAGGCTGGGGGAAGGGAAGGAGTTCTTGGACGCTACCAAAAGGCTGGTCTCTCTTTCTGTTTTCTCGCAAGAGCAGTACCGTTCTTTTCACCCAAGCGTTACTATTACTATGCATATTATTAATAATTAACAGTTTCATGCCTTTCCCCACGGTTTTATTTAATCTTTCGGGGTGCCTTTATGCTTAATTTTCTTCTGATTTAGCATTTTGCATACGTTTCCCCCTGATCTGTTATTTTAAGGGGAAAGCTGTATCTTTGAGGGGTTTATTATGTTTAGGGGGTTGAACGACTCTCCCATTCCTTCGCCTCCTACCGTTTCGGTCTCTCCCCTGTCTATAGCCGAGCTGATGGCCGGTGCTTCGCTTTTGGTTCTCCGATCCATCTCGTCGATGACCCCGTGCATCTCCGAGCCGGACAGGCTGTGGAAAAGCATCGCTGAGGAAGCGGAGGAGGAGGCCCCGAGTTGCTGCTGCTGCTGCTGCTGCTGACAGTTGTCGGGGTCCCTGCAGGAGCCCAGAACTTGCATTAACCGGAGCCCTCCCCCATGCATCTAGCACGGCCGCCCCGTCTCTCCTCGGGCTCCGGGCTTTTCGCCCCGGCAAAGGTCTCCGGAGCGCAGCGCAGGCACTGATCCGAGGTTTCGAGGGGATGGATGGGGGGCAGAAAAGGCGGGCGGAGGGGGCGAGGGAGAGGGGAGAACTGGTGGTGTGAGCTTCGGGGCTTGGATCTAGTCTGTTGCGCGGCCCCGGCACATCCCTCTAGGAGGCTTCTTCAGTGCAGGGCTCATTGCCCCAGGTGCAGTCCCAGGCTTTATGCTCTGGCCCAGCTGGCGGAAGGCTGGGCAGGTTTACGGTTGGGAGGGATTAATAAATAATAGAAGTATAAAAAAATTAAACCATCTTCAGTGAGAAATAAATATTAAAAAAAAAAATCGAAAAGGCAATAACGACAAGCCCCCTACATCGTACTGTGCGGAACTGAGAGGAGGAAAGCAGGGGAGCGGGAGGCTGCGGCGGGCGGGGAGCGGGCTGGTGCTGCGGGGAGGACGGGGCGGGTGCCCACCGTACGCACTCACGGTCCGGAGGGCTGGCAGCGGCGGCAGCTCAGGGGCAAAGTTTGCTCCTTCCCCCGCTCCTCCCCCAGCCCGCCGGAGCTCATTGGGGAAAAAAAAAAAAAAAAAAAAAAAAAAAAAGCCAGGGGGAAGGAGGAAGACTTGGATGGGCACCAGATGGGACGGGCACGCGGC